TTGAATGTATTTTTTGCTTGGATTTCGATGTTTATGACTTTTTATTTTTGTTGCAGTGAGTTTTACAGTACTTCGAGCTAACAAATTAAAATATGGAGTTTTTGGTTTTGTTTTTTTTTTTGCAAAGCCTTTTAAGGCCAGCTGGCCTAATTTAGAAATGCCACTTAAATTATTTTTGCTGAATAATTAAAAACTCGTGGCCCGCAATGAGGGTTCTTTTATTTAATTACAAAACATCACCCAAACTCCTGGAAAAGGAGGACGAAAACTTCTGCCCTAAAACTTTCATTTTGTTTCCTGTATATTACTATATCCTAAGACTTTAAATTTAAAATTTTTTTTACCATGGGATATTGCACACTTTTATCCAGATGACACACTCGTGATCCCAGTTTTCTCACTCAGTCTTGGAAATTTTCTCCATGGTCTCCTCGGGTCAAAAGCAGAGATTTTTTGGGGGCTCAGCACAGGAAATTTGAGATTCCCAGATTCCAGGGTTCCCACGCTGGAGGACAAAGAGGGTTGGAGATCAGGGAAAGAGGGGTTGGGGGATCTGGGACCCCCAGATGGGTCCCTTGGGATGGACATTCCCAAGGGAATGTTTGGATAATTCTCCAGGACAGGATGAGATTGTTGGGATGTGGGAGCTTCCCACTCAGGATATTCCGTGATTTTCCCAGAAAAATGGTTTGGAAGGACAAGTCTTGTTTGTTCTCAATTTCCAGAGGGATATTGGGATATTGGAGGGGCTGGGGATGGAATTCCCAAAGATTTGTTGCTGTCCCTGAATCCCTGGAAGTGGCCAAGGGCAGGTTGGATGGGGCTTGGAGAAATTTGGGATAGTGGGAGATCCCTGCCTGTGGATTGGGTGATTCTGAAGGTCCCTTCCAGCCCAAATCATTCCAAGATTCCGTAACATTCCACCTTTCCTGGAAATCATCAAATCCTTGTTTTTTCCCATGTGAAGTCACCTGTCCAGTCCATGAAATTTGGGAATTTGGTGGGGCAAGCAAAGGGAATTAAAACATTGCTTCTCATGGGAAATCCATCCTTAAAAAAAACCCCCAACAATCCCATTCCCGCTTCCCAAAAATATTGGAAAAATATTGGAAAAATATTGGAAAAATATTGGAAAAATATTGGAAAAATATTGGAAAAATATTGGAAAAATATGGAAACTCAGCTTCCCATAAAACCTCCACCCACAGAGAACAAAAATCCTGGAGGCTCCTTTAACTTCCCAAGGCTTCCAGGTGGAAGTTTCCACTTTTTTTTTTCCCTTGGAAAACTTGGATTTTTCCATGGAGAAAACAATTCCAGAGGAAAATATTCCAGCTCTGGAAGTGATTGCATTTCCCAGCAGGTTTGAGGCTGAAGAAACCTTTGGGTTTAAAGTCTGGAGTAAATCCCAGAGTTTAAAATCCCAGAGTGGGAAGAAAATTCCCTATGGATAAGAATTATTTCCTGGAATAATTTCCCATGGAATGGGCACATTCCCAGCTCTCTCAGGGTGGAATTGTTGGGATGTCTCCTGTGCCACGAGTTGGATTTGGATCCTTCTGGATCCCTTTCCACCATTCCACACAATCCCTGTTTTCTTGGAATCATTTCCCCAAAAATGAAGATTCCCTAAAATATCCCAGGATTGGGAACACCAGGAGTTTGATACCACAACGATCCTTCCTGGATTTTTGTTCCTTTTCCTTGGAAAAATCCATGGAATAATTTTGTTGTCCCAAGTTTCCCGATCTCCTTTTCCTGAATCAAATTATTGAAAGGACATATTTGATTTAAAAAAAAAAAATCCTCTTGGAATCTGCATCCCATCAATTTTTCCAGGATGAATTGGAGCATTGGTGGGAAATTCATGGCAGGAATTCCCAATTTTTTTCCTTTCCATCCCAAGGGTTCGGGAATTCTGCTCCTGGAAGACGATTCCGTGTACGAAGGGAACTTCACGGAAAATCTGACATTTGTTGGAAAGGTGAGAATTTCTCCTCTTGGAATTTCCAATGGATTCATTTCCCAAATTCATTCCTTCCTGGAGCTTCCAAAAAAAAAAAAAAAAAAAAAAAAAAAAAAAAATCCCTATTTTCCAAAATTTTGGGGATTTTTTTTTTTTTTCACCCGGAAGGAAAACTGTAGCTGGGAGAATTTAGGAAGAATTTGGGATTTTAATTTATTTTTATTTACTTCAGATTTTGTTTGTTTGGGG